AACCTAGCAGATCAAGTCTGTGTTGCTGTGACCTAGATGCAGTGGTCTGCCAGGGACTATGGGGATGAAGAGCTGTGGCCACGTTAGCCATGTTAGCATCAATGATACTTTATTCAATTTTTACATATCAAGTCTTGGCTGAGAGCATTACAGGTTATCAGGTTAGCTCAGAAGATCTCACAAAGGATGGATTTACCAAGATATTAACTAGTAGCAATAAAGCAAGAATCTGATTTTGTTTGGGAGTTGTTTTTATTTATTTGTATTTCAGTGCTGGCGATTGAACCCAAGCCTTGTGCATGCCAGGCGAACACTCATCCACGGAACCAAAATCCCAGCACCCATTTTGGAGTCTCTCTAACAGTCCGTGTACTGGAGGAGGCTTGAACTCCAGACCCTCCTTTTCCACTGCCTGAGTGTTGGAATCATAGGACTGTGACACCGTGCCCCGACCTACAACAATAATCAGAAATCCACAAATTATGAGAATACAATTTCTACTATTCCACACGGTCTCCAACAGTTGTTGCTGGAGATTGATTCTGCTGTCAGCATAGAAAATTCCTACCCTTGCCAACCTAGGGAACATAAATTCCAATCAGCCCAGAAAATATATAGAGATCTTGTATTTAAAAGCAAAAAAAAAAAAAAAAAAAAAAAAAGACCCCAAAAAACTGGACTGACCAAATGGTTGAACTTGTACATGTTGGAAGGACCCAAAAAACTGTAGTAATTCTCTTTCTCTCTCTTCTTCACTCCTCCCCTTCCCTCCCAAACGCTGTGGCATAGTGGCTACAATCTTAGCAATGGTTTCCAGCCAGCTAGGGACATACAGTGAAACTCTGTCTCAAATAAACTTTTAGGAATTAAACCCTCACACCTCATCCCCACCGCACCCCCAGATCATCCACGGCTAGCTTAAAGGTGAACAGACCAGGGAACGACAGGCTTCCCGAGTAAACGATTGAATAAAAGAAACTACAGCCTTCACTACGCCGTCGGCAGCCACGTACAGCACAGCCTAAGGCTCAATTTCCCTATCCATAGTGCTTAAAGACGAGCCAATGAAGGTGGGGCAGGAAACCCCGGAAGGGGCGGGCACACCGACGCGCCAGGGCTCCCCATGCCGCGACGCTATTGGCCGTGCACGGCGCCACCCACCAGTAATTACGGAAGTCGGACCCACCTCTTCCTCTTTCTCTCGGACCAGGAGACCTCAGCGGTGAGAAGTGCTGCTATGGTGAGGATACGGGAATCGATTGCCATCCGGGCGGGGGAACGCGTGAAGACATCGGCGCGGGGCGAGGGGCGCGAGTGGGGGACGCAAGGAGTGTCCGGGGCCTGCGGCCTGGCGCTGCATGCTTGCCCCTGGTTTCGGGCCGGTAGAGACCGTGCCCCCTACCCTCCCACGGTCCCTTCTTGATCGGCCGCGGTGAGAGCGGGAGCTACCGCTCCGTGACCCACAGAGTCGCCTCTCGTACAGGCCAAGATTAAGGCTCGGGACCTGCGCGGCAAGAAGAAGGAGGAGCTACTAAAACAACTAGACGATCTGAAGGTGGAGCTGTCCCAGCTTCGCGTCGCCAAGGTGACGGGCGGTGCCGCGTCCAAACTCTCTAAGATGTAAGTGGCCCATGAGGTCATAGCTGGGTGCACACCTTTCTTGGCCTCTTATGCCTTTTCCAACAATTGTTCTTGGCCAACGTATGTAGTTTAAAGATTAAGTATTCCTGAAGGTCCGTGGTGGCGCCACCTACCTGGACCCTTACATCAGTTGTAGTGGGACTGGAGACACATGGTAAGGAGAGACTTGCGAAGAAAACATGAGTTATTTAATGGATAACATCGGTATTCCACCCCAGGCAGTCTTGAGGATGAGTAGAGAAACACCTAAGCAAAACTGCGCTGAGACCTCCAGACCACGTGTTCCAGTCATAGACCTGCCCTTGTCTTTTGACATCTTGTCTCTTCACATCTGTTTAGTTCCACCAGTTTGGTTCCTTACATTAAACTAGTTAGATTTCTTGGCATGGCTTCAGCCTTTGTAGCTTTTGGTATAAGCTCTTGGCCAGGATTAAAAGAACTTTGCTTGTTGTCTTATCTGCATTAAGTTTTAACCCATATCCCTGGGGAACCTATCCTCAAGTCCAAGACTTTGCCTCCTAGGTTATAAACATGGGGGGCACCAACACAAGTTGGCACTTCCTGGTCTTCCTGGTGGTCTTCTGTTTTTATAGAAGAGTCGTCCGCAAATCCATTGCCCGTGTGCTCACCGTAATTAACCAGACTCAAAAAGAAAACCTCAGGAAATTCTACAAGGTGAGTATTGGCCAGGTGCTGTTGTGAAGAGGTTCTGGGGGTACATGGGAAGGTGCCCTCAAGAGGCACCGTTTTGTGGCTGAGTTTGCACAGCATCAGCTTCCCTAACTGGAATAAGTTCTGCTGGTGCCAAAATGCCTGTGGTGAGAGAAGCCCAGCCTTCTCTGCTGTGTTGTGTGTTAGTCATTGGCTTGTTTTTGTTGCAAGTTAGAGCTGGAACCCTGGCCTCTGGCTGTTAGGTGATTTTTCACTGTCAGTTTTTCTGTCTCATTTGCCAAGTACTTGCTGTTCGAGGGCTTGGAAAGATTGGGATTCCCAGGGATACCCACTGAAGGTAAACTTAGGACCAAAAGCCCTCTTTAACAGTTGCAAGACGTTTGTTAGTATAGAGGCAAAGCAAGGCTTTAGAGTCAGTCACACAGTAATTCATTCCTGAGACCAGGGCTGTGGTCTCCAGAAGGGAATTGTTCTGAAGGGAGCCTCATCATTTTAAGATAGTCTCCCTTAATTGGAGCCCTCTGGTGGAGCCAGTTAATTGCCTCTGCAAATTTCACCAATTAGTTTTGAGTTTAGACACATTGGAAAGCTCTCATGGTGTGGGGATTTTGGTGTGGACAGGTCTGAAGTGTTCCTCAGTTTCTGAGAGTCTAGGGACAAATGTGTGAAACTTGGTGCTTTTCCTGTGACTGCTAGCACATGTGGCTTTTGTGACTTTTTGGCATGTTAACGTATTTTGTGAGTAAAGAGGTAGGCTTTTTTTTATTTAGGTGGTGCTTGGTGATTTAAACCATGAGGTTTTTCGGTAGTGGTGCATACCTTTTTTGGTTTTTCGAGACTGGGTTTTTCTGTTGCTTTGGGAGCTGGCCAGGAAATAGCTCTTGTAGACTAGGCTGGCCTCGAACTCAGAGATCTGCCTGCCTCTGAAGTGCTGGGATTAAAGGCATGTCACCACAGCCCCAACTTTATTTACTTCAGCACTCAGGGGGCTGAGGCGAGGGGGTCTCTGAATTCGAGGCCAGCCTGCTGTACAGAGGTAGTTCCAGGATAGCAAGGGTCGTTACACAGAGAAACCCTGTCTAGAAAAACAAGTACAAACAAAAAAACACAAGGTTTCGAATGTCAGGCTAGTAAGTAAAACAGCACTGAGCTACTTGTAGGCCACAGAAAGTAAGTTTGGGAGTTCTGTTTTCTGTTTTTGTTTTGTCACGATTTGTAGATCAGGGTAGTCTAGAGTTCACAGAGGCCCTCTGCCACAACTGAGATTACAGGCATCATGCTGTGTGGGCATTGGCATCTAGCCTCCCTATTTTTAGAAAGAATAGACAGGTGTGTTTCCTGGGTGCTCTGGGGGCACAGCTCTAAGTGGTTAAGTGAACTTAACGTGGATGAGGGCCTACCTGAAATAGCTTTGGGCCCCCACGCTGTCCTTCACAGCTTTCTGGGGTCCTCCACCCACCTGCAGACACTTGGTGCAAGAAAATGTGGCCTCTTAATGTCTGTCCCTTTGATGGTAGAGTTGCCATTCATAGAGAGCCTGATTAAACATTCTTTTTGGGACAGGGTTTCTCTGTAGATCATTACCACTAGATCACATTTTTTTAAGGCTTAATTTTATATGTATGAGTGGTCTATTTACATGATAGAAGAAGGCATCAGATCCCACTATAAATGGTCCATGAGGTTGCTAGGAATTGAGCTCCAGTCCTCTGGAAAAGCAGGCAATGCTCTTAATTGCATGATTAATGCTTTGCTGAGTGCATGGTCCAAGACAATTTCTCTGTCACCCTGGCTGTCCTGGAACTCACTTTGTAGATCAGGCTGGCCTCAAACTCACAGAGATCTGCCTGCCTCTGTCTCCCATGTGCACCATTCTTAAAGGCTTTTGTGCATGCCCTGCTTTTCAGCTGGCTGTTGGGGAGCCTGCTTTGAAGGCTAGTGTCTTGAAGTTTTTGGTGGGGCTTCTGCTCTGTTCCATGTAGGGGCCTAACCCATGGGACCTGGTTGTGGGGGTGGCACTAATGGACTTGAACACTTGAGAAAGATTAAGAGATAGATGAAGACAACCGTTTGCTTAATGGCTTGGGTCTTACCTCTTGTTTGAGGGTTACCTTGGCCAAACCTCCAAGGAGCATTAGTAAGTAGTGCATGGTGGACCCTCCAGGTAACTGTAGCCAACACAGAACCCCAGTGTGTATCTTGTGCTCTTTAGGTTGTGTTGTGGTTTTTATTTCGTTACTGTTGATTGAAGGGTGAAGTTTGGCCCCCTCTTAGCCCTTCTACTCTTGAAATTGGGGTCTCTGATCAATTTAGGCTTGCCAACCTTCTAGAACCTTATTGGCAGTCCCCAGCAGAAAGGCTCTGGGTGTCCATTGTGTTCTCCTACCCTAGAATCTTCTCAGTAACTCCTAGTACTCAGATTCACCCTGTCCTGTGATCTCTATCCCAGGGTAAGAAATACAAGCCTCTGGACCTTCGACCCAAGAAGACTAGAGCCATGCGCCGGCGGCTCACCAAGCATGAGGAGAAGCTGAAGACCAAGAAGCAGCAGAGGAAAGAGAGGCTGTACCCGCTTCGCAAATATGCGGTCAAGGCCTAATGCGAAGGCTTATAATAAAGCGCAAGGCTGGCTGACTTTCTGCTTCTTGTTTTGCACTGGCAATGGAGTGACGGGGGATAGGTGACCACTTAGTTACTTTAGGCCTGTGGTAAGTTCCGAGGAAGATGTTCTTGAGACTTTGAACAGCATACTTGTCATCTTGTCACATCAGCAGCCCCTGACACTAAGAGTTTGCCATCAGGGGTGAAAACACAAGCATGGGCCACATCCAGCAGGCCCTGTCAGTAGCACAGTATCAGAGTCAGGGTTGGCAGGTCCTGCCAGTCCAGGGTCTCTACAGGGTTCTTTGCAATGATCCTGATCAGCACTGTAATACAACCTTACCTTTAATGTCTCTAGGCATTGTCCTGTGTTGCAGTCCCAGACTTTGACCTGGATATAAAAGCAGGCAGTAGAGTTGGGAGTTGTCCTATGCTGTGGCCCCAGGCTCTATGCATTTGGGCCCATGAGCATATCTAGTGTGGTAAGGCTGAGGTTTGGCTGGAGGAGGGCTGCCTTGGATCTGGGTAGACTTACTGTTGGGGAGTAACCAGCACTGGCCAGTCTCAGTTCATCAGGAGAAAATGCTAGGCTTTTAACCCAGGTGGCATGACCCTTGAGCTGAAAAAGTAGGCTGTTTGTTGTGGGTTTCCAGATACGGATGGTCTTGTCCCAGGAGCCAGATGCCTAAACAGACATCCCTGAGAGCTCAGTGGACCCAACAATGGCCTGCACCCTTGAGGGTCTCAGGACAAATAGGTACTGGCCTGGAGCCCTGGTCAGCTTGTCTTACCAAGAGGCCAGATGCTGAGTAGCACAAGCAGCTGATGTTGCCAGTATGGCCCTCCAATTCCTGGTAGGAGACAGCTGGGGTTGCCACCCGCAGGTCCCAAATATGCACAGTTGAATCCCAGGAACCAGTGGCCTATGAGCAGTGGTCATGAGTGTAAAATGGCCCTCAACACTCCTGTGGCAACTGACAGGGAGGGGGGTGGGCTCAGGCTCACCAGACAGTCCGAAGTGGGAGAGAAGTCACTGCTCTGGACAGAATCACGATGCCCGATCAATAGCCGTACATTGTGGCCAGACTGTAGAGATAGAGTCTGAGCTACAGAGGTGGAGCTGGGCAGGCCAAAAGCCTGCCTGACTGTTAGCCTAAGGGCATTTTCTGGGCCTTGTCACAACCAAATGGAAAGTCTTGGTACCTGGTTAGTGCTGGGAGTGGGGGGGGAGCCACTGAGGGTTGTTGAAGAGAGCAAGTGTCACCTCTGACCCAGGCTCCTTCCTCATACCTGCACCTCCCAGAGAATGACCCTTCTGTCCCAGCCACCTGATGCCAGCTGCTTTGAGTCAGGGCTGAAGCTGACTGTCTCCACGCTCCGCTGATGACCTGCAGACACCAGCCCAAAGGTGGAAAAGTACAGGGCAGTCTGGAAAGGAGCCAGTACAAACTGACTGCTTACCTTTCAGCACATGAAGACACTTGAATCTTGCCACATCCCACAGACGAATGGTGCAGTCACAGGAAGAGCTGGCAATGAGGCGGCCATCAGGGGAGAAGCGACAGAACTTCACTGGTCCTAAGGCAGGGAACCCATGGCATTGCCCTCTGTCCACATTTGTCAGTTTTAGCTGCAAAGCTTGAGCTGAGCCCCACTCACCTGGAACACATCCTGCTTTGCCCATCTGGGAAAACATCAAATCAAGATCCCTTCTGGTGACATACTTTCACTGTCCACCTGGCTCTGGTCTGGTCTAAATTGACTTGTATTAGTCACCCTGTTCCATTATTCCCTTGTTTGTTTCAACAGGTTAGATACCTTGCTTGCACAGGTTTATCCTGGGGATAAGTCTATGACTAAGAACACAGTCTGAACTTAGAAAGACGAGACTAAGTGAAATAGGCCAGTTAAAGAAGGAAGAAAAGGGCTCTGGAGAATCAGTGTGGTGTATGTACTGCTGGACTACAAATCTAGGGTTGAAGCTGGGTGGTACACGCCTTTAATCCCAGCAGTATCAGGTGGGGGCTGGCCTGGTCTACAGAGCTATTTCCGGGACAGGTAGGGCTACACAGAAACCTTTTCTTGAAAAACTAAAAATGGATTTGAGGCACACGCCTTTAATCCCAGTATGGGTAGGTAGATCTCTTGAGTTTGAGGTCAACCTGATCTACAGAGTTGCAGGACAATTAGACTATACAAAGAAGTCCTGTCTCTGAAAAAGCAAAACAAAGAGACCAGATCTCTTAGGTGAGAAGCCCGGTCACCCTAACCAACAGGCCCTGCCAGACTTGCTCCAACCCTCTCCCCCACACTGCCCCAAAGTCATAAGTCACTAAGATAGGCTCCAGGTGCCCAACTCCTACCTCTGTGGCCTGCCATTCTCCACAGCAGTCTCCTACTCTTGGTGTCCCATACATAGACATAACCGTCATCTGAGGCTGTGAGCAGGGTCTGGCCATCAGGGGAGAAGGCAGAGCAGTTGACCTGAAAGTACAGACCAAAAGTTCCTGTCAGAAGTCATTTGTCCCTCACCTCTAACCTGCCTAGGAACCCAGGGTAAGCAAGTTCTACTCCACAGCCAGGACCCAGAGAACCTAAAAGCAAGTTCTGAATCGATTGACAAGTTCAGCCTGCAGTGCTGGTGCAGGCCTTGAGAGGAAAAGACAGGTGAATCTCTGAGTTCCAAGCCAAACTGGTCTACAAAGCAAGTTCTAGGGCTGTTACACCCAGTCTTGAAAAAGTAAATAAGAAAGTTGACAAGTCCATAAAATTGACTATAGTAAGCATTGAGTTCAAGTTGGCCATCATGGTGCACAACTTTGATCCCAACACCAGAGAAGGCAGAGGGCAGGAAGACTGCCTGAATTTTGAGCATCCTGAAGCTGCCTCAAAAGACAAAACAGATCCGTGTGACTTTGAGGCCTGAGTAACATGAGTTCTTGGCTAAACAACTACATAGTGAGACCCTATCTACAAATAGGAAGAAGAGATGGCACTAACGCCTGAATCTCAGCACTCAGGAGGCAGAGACGGATCTATCTAGTGATTTCCAGAACAGATAGAGCCACATAATGAAACCCTGTCTCAAAAACCAAAAAGATAAACCTATTCTTGAGCTAGGACCTGGAAAGACCCGGCCTAGCCAGGGAGAGCCACGGGAGCTAACCTCCCCGCGGTGTTGGCCGAAGAACCTCACTCTGCCCACAGCCAGCTTTGTTGGGGCCTTGATGTTCATGGGCGCCCGCTGAAGGGCAGGGCAGGGCAGGGCAGGACGAACTCCTAAACGGGCACCAGTCCCGTCGGAAGGGCCTCAGGACAGGGGGACAGGGTCGAAGGGAAAAGGAAGCTGTGTACAAGCAGTCTCCATGGTAATGGGGCGTGGCGCGCAGCCGCAGTCAGGGAGGTTTCTGAGCGGCCTACTTGGAAGGCTCAATTGAGACATTTTAGGTAACAAGAGTGGAACTGTTACATGCAGGTAGCGTGAGTGTATCAGGACTTTGAGACCGTCGTGCCTGCAGCAGAGCAAGAATCTGAACAGAGTAGCCTGTAGAGAGTGCGTCAGCTATGCAGCAGAAAACCAAAGCTCCACCCCCACACTCCCCCCAGACTCCTTCCACATACAGAACCAGTTTACCACTGTGCAATGCATAGTTGAGTCAAACAAGGGCGGGGAGGGGGAAGAGAGGATCTAGCACATGGCAGAAGTGGCTGGCTAGCCCTGGGCCTGGTGATTACAGCCACCTCCACCCTCCAGGGTGCAAGGAGCAGGAAGCAGAGTGTGTCAGGTGAAGGACTTGAAAAAGTGGGTTGTTCTGGACTAAGTTATCTACTTTGCCAGTTGAGGGCCTAGGGTTGGAGGTGCAGGCAGGAGGTCCCAGGAACTCTCAGGATCGCACATGGATTGCTTGACCTGAAAAATGCAAAGAACAGACCTTTACAGATAAGGAAACTGAAGTCTAAAGAAACAGAGATGGATAGTGTTGCTGGTCCTGGGGTTGATCCATTCTCTCATCACCAGGGCTCTCACAGCAGGTGTCCGAGGTCCCTTATTTTTGGTACCTTCGAGAAACAGTTCCCCAGGGATGAGGAATGGGCAAGTCACTCAGTTCCTCCATGACAGTGCTGAGACCAGAGTCAAGCCTTCGAGCTCCCCAACTAGACCAAAGTGGGCAGGGATGAATGGGTGTGGGGCGCCTTCCTAATGGATTTCAGACTCCTAGCATTGGGCAGAAGCTTTGGGAGTGTCAAATTCAAGGGTTCCCAGCAATGACTCACTGCCTTTCCCCCCATAGCCCTTTGCCAGAATCTTCTCACGGGACCACTCTATTCCAGCTCTATTTTAGGCTTCAGACAGGCATATAAAGAAGCAATAATGGTGGCTTTGAAGCCAGTCATCCTCATCCACACTCCCAAAGGTCCCAAGTCACACAGTTGGCTCATCAGAGACCTGGCTGTGCTGACTAGAAAGCAACTTCCCATCGCCAGACATTACTCACACACAAAGGGCTCAGAAGCAAAAGTCTCAAGTCTTCTTTTTTCCTATGCTCAAGCACCAACACCCTGCACACATGTTCCCTAGCCACCCAACTGCTCCTTCATACTTGGTCCTGTTCACTGGAGTGCCTGCCCCCAGCAAACCCCATCAACTGTCCTGTTTAGGGTTAGTGTTGCTGGAACCAAAACCAAACTAGGAAGGAAAGGGTTTGGTTGCTTGGGTATTTCTTTGTTTTTTGTTTTTATTTTTGGTTTTTTGTTTTGTTTTGTTTTTGTTTTTTGTTTGTTAGTTTGTTATTATGCTGGTATTCATTATTTTAATATTTTATTTTAAAGTGTGTGTGTGTGTGCATATGTGGGCAGGTGTATACACATGTATGTGGGTGGGTATGTGCACATGGGTATGGGTGTACACATGGTGGTGTGTGCCCTTGGAGGCCAGAAGAGGACATAAATTTTCTGGAGCTGGAGTTACAGGTGATTGTGGGCTGTGTTATGTGCATGCTAATAATTGAACTCTGGTCGTCTCAGAGAGCCACAAGTGCTCTTAACCACTGACCTTTCTATCCACCCACTCACCCATTCCCACATCCCCCTTTGACTCTCAGTTGGCAGAAGACTTCTCCAAGACTCCAAGGAAATAGGCTTCTTTTTTCTTACCACCTTAATCTTTCTTGTCTTGCTATCCTGGCCCACCACCAAGCCTTTACAAGCTATGCATGAGCCTCAATGGGTGCCTCCCAAGTAGTGTGTGTTCAGGAGGGGCTTCTCTTTTTTTTCCTTTATCTTCCCTCCCCTTTCCCACAATCACTTGCATACAGTCTTGGTTTCTCAGGGAGCTGCAATGAATGCTTGCAGGTGCTGTGGTTTTCCCTTATCATAGGGCATCTTACATGCACTAATTTTTCATTGTCCCTCTTGATTCTGTGTTGATTGACAGGGCCAAGTCCAAGGCACTCTCCCCTTTAATCTTCCAAAAATTCTATCTCTAGTAATTTAACCTTCATTCAGGAGTCATTTGAGGTTGCAACAGCATTATTCTCTTGAAAATGTCATGTGCACTTTTTCCTTGAACACCTGTCCAGCCAGGGATCCCTCCCACAGCTGCTACTTGCATAATGATTCTTCAAACTCATTTTAGACTTTGCATTATGCTGGCTAAATGTCATTCACTTGGCTCCCTTCCAGCCAGCTAGCCTTGGAAACGGGGTAGGAGTCCCACAAAGCATTCATTCTGATGCCTAGCAGCTCCAAATTATATGTAAATCATGATAGGAAGCAATGATCTAGAAAACAGCTCTGAAACCATCTCCAGTGGGTCCAGTGTCACTCTGTCTTTGTGCCAGTTGGAGTCTGGACCAGCTGCTGGGGTGGGATAGAAGAAGGACACACTCCCTGACAAGAGATGGGGTGCCTAGGTCTCTGAGTGCACTGAGCTGAGCCTTGTATGTGTGTGTTTGTGTGTGGGTGGGTGGGGGGGGGTGATGCATCGCAAATGAGAAGCATCAGGGACTCAGGGCTGCAGCTTTGAAGAGTTTGTGATTGGTCCAATCTGAGTCATGTGGCAACTTGGCTTGGGGCAGGCACACCTTGAAGGGCTTACCTAGAATCTCAGACTTGGGCTGGCCCCCACCTGTCCTTCAGGACCTACATTCAAACCTGATCTACACAGTTAGTTCTCTGTGAAGCCAGGGCTTCACATAGAAACCCTTTCTCAAAAAACAAAAACCCAGAGAGAGAGAGAGAGAGAGAGAGAGAGAGAGAGAGAGAGAGAGAGAGAGAGAGATGCTAGGTGTGATTGAGATGGCACACACCTTTAATACTAACACTCAAGAGACAGAGGCAGGTGGATCTCTGTGTGTTCATGACAAAATTGGTCTATATAGTGAGTGAATTCCATGACAGTCAAGGCTATAGAATGAGACCCAATCTCCAAAAAAAAAAAAAAAAAAAAAAAAGAGGTGTTACCTGAAGTCCCTGGCCTATACTAAAACAGTTGCTACCTGTCCCTCAGTGGTAACAGTGACATGCTTAGCTTAGTCAAGCCATCCATCTCCCCAGTTTGCAGCCTGGAGCTTCATCCACAGCCCTCCACTACAACCAGAATAAATGAGTCAGATACCCAAACACTGAAATCTGGTGTTTGTTTTTTTTTTTTTTTTTTTTGCTTGTTTGTTTGTTTTTTGGTCTTGTTTGTTTTTGGTTTTTCCAGACAGGGTTTCTTTGTAGCTGTGGAGCCTGTCCTGGAACTTGCTCTGTAGGCAAGGCTGCCCTTAGACTCAGAGATCTACCTGCCTCTGCCTCCCAAATGCTGGAATTAAAGGCTCGCACCGCCACCACCACCTGACTCTGAAATCTGGCTTTAAAGGGCATATCTGCTCTCATATCTCACTCATTCACTCTTTCCTCTTCTCTACAACCAGGGAACCTCTCCGTTTCATTCATTATGGCAGTTGTCACTCTTCCCATGGCTAGCCCAGATCATAGGGCTGATGATAACAATCTATTTTCTCTCCTAGCAACCTGCCTTTTTTGCCTTCTCAAGGAACAGATGCCTGAGATCTCCAGGATGGCAGTTAACTGAATGCTTCTTCACCCATACCTCCTGCTGAATGTAAGCCCAGTGACTCCCAACATTCCCCTCCTCACATTGTCCACTTGAGCCCACAGAGTTGGTACCAATGGTGAAGTTCCAGGAGCTGGTGTAGGTGCTAGTATTATCTAGAGGGACCACTGTGGGTTGACCCAGGCAGGAGGAGTGAACCTGCAAGATATGCTAAAAACTGGGTGGTGTCAAAATAGGCTCTGAACTGTTAGTTTTTACCACCCCAGATTTGTTGATACAGTAGCAGAGCTCTTTTCCCAGGTACCCACAGTGTCTGTAAAACAAATGGAACAGATTTACATCTTGGTGTCATAGCAAAAGGCTATGGCGTTAGGGTAAGGCATGAATATTTTAAAAGACAACCAGAGGAAATTTAAAACGATGAACCTCTGAAGTTACATCTACAACCTTTTAATCCCTCACTATGAAGCCTGTGAAAGGCATACCTCAAGACCGCTATCTGAACCTTAGCAGGCCATGCCCCGGGGTGGTACTTTCTGCCGCTACCACAGTGGTCCCCTGTCTGAAGAACGAGGCTGTCGTGGGACCAGGGGTATTACAGGCAACAAGGGTCTTTCACACAAGACAACCACATCTTGACCCTCTGCCACCTCTTCCTGAATATGGAGGAAAAGTATGTCTTGGACTGATCCCTGAAGAATTTTTCCAGTTCCTTTACCCTAGAACTGGTGTAACTGGACCCTATGTGCTTGGAACTGGGCTTAGCTTATATTGTTTTATCCAAAGAAACATATGTGATTACCCCAGAGACCTTCTCTACCATATCAGTAGTAGGGTTGATGGTCTATGTGATTAAGAAATATGGTGCTTCTATTGGAGAATTTCTTGATAAACTTAATGAAGTAAAGCAATCACCCATCAAACAAATCCAGGATGCAATTATGGAGAAGGCACAGTAGGTATTGGTTCAGAAGTGCCACTATCTCTTTGATGTTCAGAGGAATAATGTTGCCTTGGCCTTGGAAGTTACCTACCAGGATCAGCTACATAGAGCATATAAGGAGGTAAATAATCACCTGAACTACCATATTTCTGTACAGGACATGATGTGTCGAAAGGAGGAAGAGCACATGACAGACTGGGTGGAGAAGCATGTGGTGCAGAGCATTTTTGCACAGCAGGAAAAGGAGACCATTGC